CAGCCTGGAGGACGGCAAGTTCTGTTCTGACGCACAATATTACATATGAGACATATGCATATGAGACATCTTGCTCTGCGGCGGCACCTTTTTCTGCAACAGCCACGTCGCTGGAACTCGCAGCGTATGCCCGGGCAGCCCACAAAATGAATCAAGTTACATCGTCGCGCTTGCAAGCGCAGTCTGTCAGTGCAGCCAGCCCATGCTTTTTTGCTCTTGCTTTCTGTTAGTAGCTTTTGTTGTTAAGGTGTCGATAGTATACGCTAGCAGCATCCGCGCAACATGGCATCGCAATGGAGTGAGCAGTGGGCACCCAGCTCTTGGGCGGCAAGTTCGTGGTGGCAGACCCCGCCGACTTCCCACACGACACCGACGTGGACTACGCCACCACCACCGCCGACAGCACCAGAAGCAGCAAACCTTCCACCAGCTCCGTGGCCGCCAGCGCCTCCATCACGCAGCAATCCCCCAGAGCATCCAGCGGATCCTCGCCCAGCTCGTGTACCAGTTCCCCCGTCCTCAAGCAAGATGGGGAGCACTACGATGCCAACTTGGTCTTCAAATCCACCCTCCGGAAGACCGTGGAGCCGTCCGCATGGAGTCGAGCCAAAGGACTTGCAGGCATGGATATTCGTGACGTTACAGTTGCCCATCTCAGCAGACGTGGCTTGGAAGAATATGGACTTCGCCCCCTTTCTCACGGGCGATTTACAGGGCTTATTCTCACCCGCAACGTCGCCGAGACCGTCCTCCTCTCGTAAATACAAAAGAGGCTACGCGAAGACAACATCGACGTCGACGCCACCATCGATGCCATTTACAAGTCCAAAGACCTCAAACCGCCAGACAAAGTGAAGGAAGCTACCAACTTTGTCACGCCATTGGTAGACGAGATCTTCTTGGCTATGAAGCCGTGGACTCAGGTCAAGAATTACGGGAAGAACTCTGAGCAGGACAACCAGGTCGCGCAACGCATGCAAGAGCTCGAGGAGGAAGCCGCCAAGTACAAGCAGCGGCTTAAGTCGGCAGGGATGGAGGTTACACCAACCAAGGTTCTCCCGCTGCAACCCCCACCACCTTCGGCACCGAGCGACTCCCAGCAGACACCGTCGCCATCGCATCAGGCGCTACGTCCAGGACCTCCACCCGACAGCGCTCAGGAAGACCCTCCCCTCAAGCGACGTCGCACTCAGCGCGGAAACAAGAAGAAGCAGTATGAAAAGATGATCGAGGAGCCCTACAACGTCATCAAGCAAAGTGGACAGCAGCCTCCGACGAGCATGACCTCCATCAAAACTTGGGTCATCAACCTCAAGAAGACCATGCCAGCGGACAAGCACAAGGAGCTGGACCAACACATTCAGCAAGTCCACAACCTGCGCGAAGAGGGCCAGTACACCAAGGTGCAACTCCAGGAGATGGCCACAAGGTGGGGACTTCCAATCTCGCTTATTACGGCAACAGCGGCCTCCCCCAGAACCCTACAGCAGCTCATTGCAGCAGTTACGTTCTTGGCTGTCTGAAAGATGCAAACGATTCTGCATCAACGCCTCGTGCACCGAGACGGCGACCAGATCTTCAGACAGCTGCAGCAGGTGGTGGACTGGGCGCAGTTTTTGTTGCTTCATGCCCCTGCAATAAGTAATAAG